TATAAAAACTAATAACGGTGAACTTGTGCTGTTTTAACATGAAAATATCCTTTTTTAATATCATAATGTGTATCTTGCTAAATAAAATATGTCTGCCCCAAAATAATAATTTAAAGCAAAAGTGTATGTAATATAAAAATGTCAGATTGCTTGTTTTAACAATAAACAATTTAATTATATTTGGAGTAAATACTAAAAGTGTACTTTCTTTAATGGTCAGGCTTTTACTTTTTTTATATTTGGATTGTAACTATGGATGTGTGAATATTGAATTCAAGAATTATTTGAATAGTTTGAATGTTTCAAATTTTTAAATGGTTCAATTAGAAAATTAAAATTTTTCAATAGTAATTGAAGAAATGGAACATTGGAATTGTAATTTAAAATTTATTTTTAAATAAAAAGAATGTTATTTACTTGTCATTAACCCTTAATTAACTTATTTGAATAGATTATGATTAATTATTTAACTATTCAAATAATTCCAACTATTTATGTAGTTTAAATATTTAATTTTAAGTTTGAATTAAATATTACTACATAATTTATTTGGTAAAAATATTCACACACCACCAATTGTAACTAAAAATGTATTCTAAATAAAAAAAATATATATCTACCTATTATTAAAAAAATTTGGTCAAATATTTCTGTTTGGCATTGACAAGTAAAGCTTTCATTCTTTTTCTTCATGCAGGATAAATCTTGTCTAATTGTTCCATTATCGCAGAAGCTAAAATTAATTATATTAAATTAAAATCAATTTATATTGTAGCAAAAAATAATTGAATTAAAAACTTTAAAAATAATTCTTTAAAAGCTTTGCTTATGAATTGTCTAGTTATTTATGTACATTAAAAATGATAGAACAAATGAAGGGGTCAATGCAAGAATTCTTGCACTTAAGTGCCTAAGTCACATTTTCAATTAAATTTACATTGTGGCTTCATCTAAGAGTGTTTCACGTAAGGTTTCAGGTGGTATTTTCAAAGTGGCAGAAATATGTGCCCAAGCGCCTTAGTTTGCATTTACTTCAATGGGAGTTTGCCTGGTTTTCAACTTATGTGAAAACTCTTAGATGAAGCCAGAATAACAATTTAATTGAAAATGTGACTTAAGACACTTTTTGCATTGACCCCTTCAAATAAAATAACTATAAAAATACTGTAAAAGATTATCACCCTGTAGTTCAAAATGCTATATTAATGTAAAAAAAACATGAAAAGCACAAAACATTTGTAATATAATCAAGATTTGAACTGTATGCTTACAAGTGTTTAATATGACCTCTTCCAGCTGCAAACATCTTGTAGATACTCGGCAGTTCCAATTCGTGTATTCAGCTTTTACAAATCTTGGGCTCATACACGTTATCTTTTATAAAGCCCCAGAGAAAGAAGTCGCACACTGTGAGATCGGTTGAACATGTTGACCATACATGAAGTGCCAAATTGTTGGGCCCTTTACATCCGATCCACCGATGAGGGGGCTGTTCGTTCAATAACCTCCGCTCCACCAAATGCCAATGTAGTGGGGCCCTGGACCCAGGTCCAGTTTTCGCGTAGCTACATCAAATAATTTTAACAAAAACATACATTTTGACAAAGATTATAGGTACCTATATTTAACATTTTGTATAACAGCAACTAGTGTCGAGAAAAAAAAACGTTAAAAACTGTTTTGATTGAAAGTTTTGAATCAAAACGCTTTAAAACTATTTAAATTCTATCAAAACTTGCATTAGTTAAACAACCCATAAGCAAAGAGTAAGAGTCTTTACTCTTTGCCATAGGTTTCATTACATAAAAAGAATTTTATTTGTTTTATCGTAACTACATTTCACATGTGTTTTCGGTAAACATAGAGAAAAAAACCGATACAGTTTATCACACGTATTTTCTTATTTTAAACGCGGTAATGATGCTACAACTAACTCAAACTTGACTAAAAACACCTAATAAAATGTTAAAGCCGAAATTAACAAGTTTACTTACCTAAAACAAAGAAAATTTGGATTATAAAACTTCGTACACAACACTTCAACAAGACTGTCGGCCATTTGTAATTTCTCAAACCGACCATCAACGAACAAGTTGGAAAAGACCAATCACAACAAAGTAAGAATCACGTGGTTAATAACTGGGGTCTGTCAAAAACAACTTGGGTTTCAACGCACGCTAGATTTATTTTACTGTTGCCTGTTGTCAAATTCCCCTTATACCCCCCTGACGGTGGGCGGCCTGATCACCCAGTGGGCCCGATTATCCAACTCTCCCCTACAATAATAACTTTATTTTTATAGTTTTATAATGATATACATGAGCGTCGACCCGAGAGATAATGGGCATTATTTCGAGTGTAATGCTATGCTTTTTCTACTCCAATTAAGTTATTTTCATTAATAACAAGATGTATTATAACCTTACTTTTTCCAATTTAAAACCCAATTGGTTTAAATAGCAGCTAATCACTGATGCCTAACCTCGTGAATATTGAGTTCATTATTCACGTTGTTATTTTTACCCTATTTCATTCATATTATCTTCGCCTATGCCTTTCGAGAAAGCATCATTGGCATACTGCCATTCTTTTAAGTTTTTGTAGTGGTATAGTACCTATAAGAAGGGGTAAGAAGCAAAAGGGTACGTACAAGTACAACTTTTTGCCACATAAACATATCTGGATACTTGTTTTAAAATTAAATTATATTATTGTTTGCATTAATCAACATGCAGAACTCGTACAATTTTCACGTTATGATAAAATTTTAAAAACAATTTGGACTCAAACTACACAATTCGATACTTAACTTGTTATCATGATAAAATGCACTTGTACCCTTTTTCTTCTTACCCCTTCATATGTTATATGAAGGAAAAGGTATTTTTGTGCTTCGCTCAATTGCTTTGCCTCGGCGCAAAGTGCAACGGCTGCAATCTTTTAAGCTCAGCACAAAAAGACTCGAGTCTTTTTGTGCTGTGCTCAAAAGACGTGATCACGTCTTCTCCTAATGACATAATCTACTAAATAGTATTAAATAATATTATACATTTCAATTATTTTTATGTTTTAAATGACTTTATCTATTCCTACATTGATGAGCTTTATGGCGTTTTAGTCAGGGGCTGAAGTTATCAACAGTGGCTTTTGAACATTTTAGTCACATGCTAAAGTTAGCCTTATTATAAATTGTGAAAAAGTAAGGTTAAATTCGCCAGATAGCAAATATTTATGAATTAAAATTGGCTTTATAAATTCTTATTTCTGTTCGTCGTAGATATAAGTATAAGTATAGTTTGCAACTTGTTTTATAAACTTCTCTATACACTCGTTTTTATTAAACACTCGCTCGCAAGCTTCCCTCGTGCCTAGTAAAACTAATGTGGTATTCATAAAACTTGATACATAATATACTATTATCTACTTCTATTGCATAATTTTGTGATTTTTTTTTCGTGAATATTGATAAAGATTATAAATTTCCTGCCTAACAACGGGAATGATAAACTCATTATTCACGTTGTTAGGCTTTAGTGATTGGCCGATTTCAATATTCACTGTTATTTGAACCAATCGGGTCTTAAATTGGAAGAAGGCGACTATAATACTCGTACATTACATATAATACTACGTACATTATTACTACTCGTATATGGGTCATTCCATTGTTTCGAGAGTTACATTTGTTCAACCAAAGTCTAAATTTTTATGTATTTTGAAATAACATTTTAGCAATTAAAGTGCCTTATCCTTTACGTGTTTAGTTGTTGTATCTAAATTGTAAAATTAGTACAGTTTAGTATTTTGAAGTTTGTTTTTAATAATTTAGGAAAATTCCCAACTAATAGTAATTTTTACTCATATTCAACCAGAAGTGGCTCAAGATTATGTGTCCCGAGACACACAACTTCTTTGTTTAAAAAGTCACCCTATTTTTCTGGCATCAAATTTTTTAACTATTTGCCTAATTATAAAACAATATTTACGATATTTAGATACTATAAACAAAATGTTACCAAGAGGAAATGCGACGTATACAAAAAATTATAATGTTTTTAAAAGAAAAATGAAACTTTTTAATTGAGGAATGTCCTTATGAACTGAATAAGTTTTTAGAATAAATTTGTAGGTATTTCCGAGTAGGTATATACTTGTAGTTCGTGTATTGTATTTCTGTGACTTATCCTATACATATGAATGTTATCTATGTCAATTGGATTAATAAAATTATTATTATTATTATTATAATTATAAAATAAGATAACGATTTTATAAGTCCAAGTTTCGGGTGTTTCAAGATTCTGCCTTTATGTCCTGACCATTGTTACATTTATTTGAAATTCAGCAAATTTTCTGAGGGAAACATTCCTAAAAATTACAGGCCTCCAAAAGTATAATATTTACTAACCATCTACCACATAATTACTGTCACAAATAACGTTTTACTATCTTTTTACAAAATTTACATGTTACCATGGTTCTGTTTCGGGTGTTACAAGTACAAAAATTAAACACTTTATATGGACACACTCGTTGTTTTATAGTCTTTTGGTACTACAAAATAAGTTATTAACAAATAAACATGAATAGAATTAATAATTAGGTAATAATAATTATTAATAATTAATTACTAATTATCTACTTATTGCAGTTGATAAAGTATAGTATAACACTCAATATAATTCGCATTATTCACTATAAGCCTACATTATCTCTCGTATAATAATATACTACATAATATTCAATAAAATTTCAGACTTATTTAATAAAACTTTAGATTAAACCAAGAAATCTCCTTAAACAGATTTGTACCTATAAACCAAATGTAGGCATTCGGAACAAATAAATAATTCATACAGGGAGAACAGGGATCCTCTTATAGGTGTGATGGCATCTCATGTAAATGTCAAATCTAAATTGCACTTGACGCGCTCGCAATCGATAGACGCCGACCGTCGCGACGCATGCGCCGCGCCCTCTCAATCGATACCACGTTCAGATCTACACCCCATCTCTATAGGGTGGTTTTGTTGCTTTCAACAAATTTTGTGTTTATATCAAGGTAAGTGACTTTAATTTTATAAATAATTATTGTTTATTGTGTTTTGGAATTTTACATTAAACTTACTTACAATAAGATACATTTCATAGTTTTTGCTGCTATATAGATTTCATCACAAATGTTGATGCAATTTTCTACAAAGAAAATATAATAAAATATTTAAACAAGTGTATATTAAATTAAACTTCGTTTACATAAAATATTTAAGTGGTGTTTTTATAATTTACATTAAATATTAAAAGAAAATTAGCCATATTTAAATGAAATTAAACATTAGTGTAAAAAACTTCATGTTGACTAATATTTTGACTAATATTTTATGATATACGATACGATATAATTATGAAAACTACATACCGTAAACACGGGTGGCTTTAGCTCACTTTCAAACTTAAGCTTAAATTTTTTGGGGTTTTAAAATCATATACATTAAAATTTAATATTGTATGCCAAAATTTGAGTCTTGAGTGGCTCTTTCATAATAACTATATTATAATATTACGTAGGGCTGAGTTTCAAAAATAAAAACTAAAAACTGGGTGTTCAAAGTTACCCCCTGGTTGCGGGTAACTTTGTCTCACAGTGTATTTTCCGTATAAAATTAATATTTTATTTTATTTTTATAAGACACATGTTATCAGCGACATATAGCGATTGCAAGGGATTACCGATACAAAAATCGACTGTAGTTAACCAAGGATCATCATTCCAAAGGATTGCGCCTAATATAGAAATTGTACCGAGTGTATTTCTAAGAGTTCTGCACTGATGCAATATAAACAATTTTAAAGTGTAATATATCCCATTTATATTTTTAAACACTGATTTTTCTGTTATATAAACTCTAATAGAATCTCCCAATTGACAGGTTTAGACCAACAATAAATAAATGTTAATTTTATCGAGCGCAAAAAGATTTTTATAAAAGGGTTAAAGTCACCTGCGGGGTGCAAAGCCACCCGTGTTTATTATTTCTAGACAGAAATTGTACGTCTCACCAATTATTTATTTGTTTTAGGATGAATTGTTTTGGGGAATGTATGGACCTGGGTCCTCCACCTGACAGCATACTATTTTTGCCCCCTCCCCCATTGCCAGCGTTTTTACAACAGTCTTTGCCCGATTTACTGTTAAACACCACCCCATGTTTACCTGCACAATTATGCGAGTCGTCGCCAATTGTATCAAATAAAATTCCGGAGACGTATGGGGATTACATAGAACTGCCCAGAAAAGGTAAAAAATTGATAGTGGTGAAAATTAATATCTCAAATATTTGACTTTTATATTTTTGTTGCCTTGAATCAGATGTTGAGTTTTAACACCAGATTTAATTTACTCTTCTAATAAACGTTTTGGTTATTTTTGTTTAAAATGACTGAGCGCAGAATTTTCTTTGGGTAATCTTTTATAACAATTTTTAATAAATTTTAATAAACGAATGCTCTTTGTTGTTAAAAATTGTTGAACATCAGTAATACCTACATTAAGTTTTTTATAAAAAACTGCGATAAACCAAGTCAAATAAATGTAACACACTGTCATTAAAAATTGTATTAAACCATCATTATGTAAAATAGTTAATATATTCACACAAACCTTTATTTTTAACTATAAAACAGATTTTATTAATAGAATTGCGTTATTTATAAATGATTTTTTGGACGATAGTGGTTTTATTGTGCCATTTTTGGGAAACCCTGTATATTAATTTCATTAAACTTGTAAATTGCAATAACACATGAATTTGCAAATATTTATACTGTCAAATCTGCAGAGATATGCCTCTATACAGTGTACATTCAAACACTTTGTATACCTATTGGGCACCAAATCGATAATGAGGTATGCATTAAAATTGGCCGAGCGTTTTTTAATATTAAATTTAAACAGGTCTATTTAAGTCAAAATTGTTCTTTGATCTTTTGAGTTAAACTTTTGACTTTAAAAAGTTTAGATTATTGTAAAAAACGTCAATTTAAACCGATATTATATTATATTATTAGTATATTATGTTCAAGTTTGATAAACGCCATTTTAGACGCGAATTTAATTTAGGCACGAGCGAGTCTACGACAAATACTTATTATTATCTAAACATAATTAAAATTCAATATTTGTATAGAACATCTATAAAACAATAGAGTAACCAACTTGGGAATGTGTAATAATGTCAAATGTAACATTTTTATGTTAAATCTAAATCCCTTGAAAATGGACCGTTTAATCCAATAAAGTAGTTTTTCAGAGTGAAAGTAAAGACAATGTTTTATCCAGCCGAAATTAAGTTAAATATAGTTTACTGCCGGCAAAATTAAAATGTCAGTACAATGTTCATATAAACTTTTCAAATATTCGCGTTAAGAAATTATTTAATACATTTGTATTTTTGTATTAAGGTAGTAAAATAATTTTTACATTTATTATTATTTTAAAAAGGGGCATTTAATTTTAACGATTTAATGACATTTGACAACTGTCAACTAACTTAAAACTATCTTCAGCCAGTGACTAAAATGCCATAAAGCCACAACATGTCAATGTGTATGTAAAAGGTCACTTAGTGTCATTTGAACATGTACGATTAAAGGTGGGAGTAGAAAAAGAAATATTTGTAATTAAAAAAAAATATTTGTATACACTATCATAGTATCATACTATCATAATGGTCCACATTGTGGACTCCACACCCGAAAGTCCCACCACGAAACTTTGATACAAATAATAAAGGTTAATTTTCAGTGTCAAGATAATTTCGTCATATTTTCTGAAAATAATGCATTATACATGTGTAGGTATCAAAGTCTTATAAGCAAAGGAGGTTTTAAATCATCCGAGTGAATAATGCCCATAATCTCGAGTATAATACTATAATTTATATACTCCTATAAGTAGATTATTAAATGATTTTTAAAAATAAATAAATAAAATCTGACATCTGCTAAATCGTTAACCTCACTTTTTACCAATTTTAAATGTTATTATAGTCGCCTTCTCCCAATTTAAAACTCGATTGGTTCAAATCAAAGTGAAATTGGCCATTGGCCGGCGTTAGCTTATTAGAGGCTAGGTGCAAAAGAAAAATGTGGGGCTTGAACTAACTAGAAATTAACGTTTAAGAAAAAATCACACATAATTTTTCCCTGCTTTAGCGGATGCTCTTTTCCAACATCCTTGTCTATTGACAATATAGCCAAACCCACTAGTCGTTCTTGGCACATATCTTCTTGATCTTAAATATTTTTTTATTAATTTTAATTTTGAAAAACTCTGTTCCCGGCGTAATAATAATTGTTTTAAACGGATACAGGCGACTCAAATACACATTTAGCAACATTGAACTGCATTCAATAGATGACGATACCTACTAAAGATATTATCTCTGGCAATGACCAGATATTATTTCGTCACGCTGTGCTTACAGCTTACCATGTTGCTAAAATGTACAATAATTTCGTTAAGACACCTTGATGCGCGCGGGGCCTATAAAACGCGGGGCCGGGTGCAACCGCACCGTTTGCACATGCCTCACGCCGGCACTGTTGGCCAATCACTGATGCCTAACGTGAATATTGAGTTCATTATTCCCGTTGTTAGGCAAGGAATTATAATGTTTATCATTATTTACGGGAAAAAACAATATTATGCAATGCCATTTTAGTTAGGAGTTTTATTAGGCACGAGCGAAGCAAGTGCCTAGAGAAGTTTATAAAACGAGTTGTATACTATACTTTACCTAAGACTAACACAAAGAAGAATTTAAAGCCAATTTTATTTGTTAAACATTTAACATCTGTCAAATGTCAACGGATTTAACTTTACTTTCCCCAATTTATAACAAAGCTAACTTCAGCTCGTGACTAAAATGCTCAAAAGCCACTATTGCTAACTTCAGCCCGTGACTAGCAATTTCTTAAAAAAAAATGTTAATGGTCAACTGTTAAACAAATATTGACAATTTTACAATTAAATATTTTTATCTTCAACTCACTAAATCTACTAAAGTGATTGGATTACCTAAGCTTTAAAAATAATTTAGGCCAATCAGTAAAAAAATCGTTTAAAACATTCAAAAAATTCGACGACTGTCAGACTAAACTCACTTTCTACTTTTAATAACACTTTAGGGAGGTGAAAATATCACAGCTAAACGCTCGGACACGTAAACTTAATTTTATTTAATTTAATCCGTGCTTAGTTTGGCTGTATCAGGTCAAAATTAAAAGATATTGGAAACACCCTTTATAAACTTAATCACCCTGTATAAATTTAAAAAAAAAATCAATTTGTATGGACCCCCAGATCAGTTCCAAATTAAAAAAAGAACAAAGTCTTGCAAAATTTGAAGTAAATTAATCAAAAGGAACACATGCCCCTGATGTTTTTTTTAGATAATTTAGGAAATTCAAAATGTTTTTTGCTACTTTTTGTTTATTGAATATAATTGAGGATATTATATTAAACGAAATAAAAAGCATAGGAATGTTGGCACAAGAGGTGAAATATATTACTTTAAAAATTATAATATACAAGTATACAGTGTGTCTCCGGATCGGATTGCCAAATACCTGATACAGCTAAACAGAGCACGGATTTGGAATCAACGACCAAAAATTATGTTTACATGTCCGAGCGTTTAGCTGTGACTTTTCAAAAGTTGAAAATTGCCTCGAAAATAAAAGAGTCTTTTCCAAGGCCGACGCAAACATGAACTCAGCACAAAATGACTCAGATCTCTAATCTTGAAATTGTATTTTTCTTTTCAGATTTTGAATCCTGGACTGGTTCTGGAATTAATGATACCTGGTTGTTGGTATTAGTAGCTTCATCCATTGGTGTTCTTTTATTGGGGGCTTTATTAGCAATGTTTTTACTGAAATGTAGAGAGTAAGTATTGGAACTTAAAATCGTAATTTATAATAATACCTCTTTACATGAGAACTTGTTTTAAAAATTTCTCGCGATTAAAATTTTTAAAATGACGTCTAAAGTAAAAAGGTTATTTGATTTGCACTCTATTAAATAGGAAGATATTAAATTAATTTATCACAAGTATACATACACTTAACTGTTAACTGTTAATTAAAAACCAACGGAGTTTGGTAAGTTTTAGACACTGTAGATTAGGGTGTTTCAAAATAAGGCAATATTTTTCTTTTTTAAATTCATGTGAAATTCTCGTCACTTATGCTAAAAAAAATCTGTCAAAATTTGAGCTCTTAATATTAATTTTAAAAGGTCCATCATCGAATTTAAAGTTTTCCCATTGATTTAACATGGAAAAATAGTTTTTTAAGATTTATTTCGCCTACATGCTATGTACAACTTTTTTTTTGATAAGCAATCACTGGTCCCTTTTTAGCATTAAATTATCTACAAAAAAATCTTACAGAGTCCAGTCTGTAATATTAATTTTAAAAGGTCCATCATCGAATTTAAAGTTTTCCCATTGATTTAACATGGAAAAATAATTTTTTATTATTTATTTCGCCTGCATACTATGTACAACTTTCTTTTTTGATAAGCAATCACCTTTTTTAGCATTAAATTATCTACAAAAAATCTTACAGAGTCCAGTCAGTAGATTCAACTCTTTCTTTTTTATTAACGTTGAAACGTATAAATTCTAAACAAATTTGATATTTTTACATTTAGCGGCTAAATTACTAATCGTAGAAAAAAAGTCAATTAGCAATTTTGAAGATCTTTTAATGTTCTACAAATTAATTCTGAACAATTTTTTTTATCACCTACAGTTCAAAAGTTATAAGTGTCTAAAATCCTATTTTCATGATTATGCATAACAGTGGCCGACAGCCATTTTGGTGCAGGGTAGACAACAACTTTTTTAGGGTAATTTGAGTACGCCGAATCCTAAAATAACCATCATTTTGCTCAATCAGCTCTTGTTTTTGCGATGTAGACAAACCATTTTTTTATATGCGCACATTCAAATGCTTAAATATATTTTTTAAACTTATAATTTAAGAAAGTATAGTTGGTAATGTTGTTATGGGTCTTTATTAAACTGAAAAAAATACCGTATACATTGATAATGGTATTCTCTTTAAAAATCTTGCTTTCATCGTAATAAAATTGGATATTGGAAATTTAAAGTGATACAGCATGATCAATTTTTGCCCGATTTAAATAAAATTTACCCTATTTGTAGCTCTATTTCTCTACTTTATTGTATTAAAATTTCAATGCAATATCGAAAAAAATGTTTTTTATTCTACATCGCAAAAACAAGAGCTGATTGAGCAAAATGATTTTGAATAATTTTTTGATTCAGCGTACCTAAATTACCATTAAAAAGTTGTTGGTTGCCATCCACCATAAACCTTAAAAATTATTTTCAGTATTTCAAAACTGTTTTGAAGCGAAGTATAAAATTTTATTTGCAGTCAAAAGCTGGATCATGAAATTAAAAATATCATAAAAGTTAAGCTATTTTAGCTTAAATTCGGCGATTAATTGAGTGTATTGAAGAATCTTGGTACGTTATTTATAGAGCTTCGAGTTTCCTGCAAAATTTTCCCTAAACGTTTTTCCTACAGTGAATATTATAATAATATATTATGCAGAATAATAAAAATAGGATTTTAGACACTTATAACTTTTGAACTAGGTGATAACAAAAAATTGTTTAAAACAATTTTTAGATCATTAAAATATCTTCAAAATTGCTAATTAACTTTTTCTTCTACGATTAGTACTTTAGCCTCTAAATGTAAAAATATCATTTTCTTTAGAATTTATACGTTTCACATTAATAAAACAGAAAGAGTTGAATCTATAAACTGGACTCTGTAAGATTTTTTGTAGATAATTTAATGCTAAAAAAGAACCAGTGTTTATCAAAAAAAAGTTCTACATATCATGCAGGCGAAATAAATCTTAAAAAACTATTTTTCCATGTTAAATCAATGGAAAAACTTTAAATTCGATGATGGACATTTTAAAATTAATATTAAGAGCTCAAATTTTGACAGAATTTTTTTTAGCATAATTGACGAGAATTTCAGAAGAACTTGAAAAAAGAAAAAAATTGCCATATTATGAAACACCCTACTGTAGATTGTAGGAACCGCTTTTTAGCAAATTAGATAATTTTTAACTCTAATTACTCATTATCGTAAAGATTTAAGAAATAGTACGTGCTTAAAAGATAGGAAACACAAATTTTTAAGTTAAGTTTGAATTTAACGAATGTCAAATTTTTTAGGATGAACTTGTTTGGAAGCAGCGATTGCTCGATGCACAGCCGGCAAATTAAACACTCAGAACCCCGCGACTGCGCCAGCGTCACAAATATAAACAGCAATAAGCTGATCCATCCATCCGAAGCTGTGTTGTACCACGGCCTGCCCAACCTAACCGATAACAGAATGGTGTGGGCCGCTCTGACACCCCACGGTACCCAACACTTTATTTCAGAAAACTACCCGAGAGATCTGATCGATTACGGCGAACCGGAAGATCATTACGAAACGATCGATAACATGAACATTCCGGTCAAGCCGGAGCTCCCCGGTGCCTATCACACGTTTCAAAAAGGTTTGACATTGAAATTATATCCCGAGAAATCGAGTTTTGATAATTCTGGGTTCGTAGATTACGACTACGAGGACCCAGCTCCCTTGATCGAAACGTACCAATTGAACACCATGGAAAACGACGGTTATCAAATTATCGATAATTCGGACATGAGGTGCGCCAGCTTAGGTGGCGGTACCTTAAGACGAGGCCTCCCCGCCCCCTTTAGACCTAGAGTTTCGTCGCCCACTAGAATCGAGCACCCCAATTTACCCCCGCTTAATCTAAACCCGCATAATAGCAATACCTTTAAGAGAAACGGCACCTTAAGTTATAAGACCATAGAGCATGGCACACTGCCCAAATATGGCGGTTGTTAAGTGTCCAAAAAGCTTTAACCTGTATGCAACACTATATCGTATAAGTATACTAACCTATTTATCAAACATACTCTGAATGTTTTTATATTTATTAGTTATTTTTTGTATTTATCTACCTATTTGTGTTTTTATTTGAATAAACTATTTGTTAACCACCACTGGTTTTATTTCATGGATCCCTCATAATAAAATACGTCACAATTTTTGTGTGAAACGCGTAATGTATAAAATTCAAAGTAAAAACAGAATAACATCTTTGAAAAAGCGATTCAAAGAAAAAGGTTCGGAAAGCAGTTAGCAAAAAGGGGCAACCATTACACTTTCCAGATATAACTGTGTGGTTTCGAAAAGGCACAGAAGTGTCTTGCTACCAAGTCGAGTCATAAGAACGACCGAAAATGTCCCAAGACACGTATTTGGAGCTCGAAAAAGTCATAAAGATATTAATTTTGTTCTTAGATTATCCTTTTTCTTAATTAATAAAAATACAAGTCGATTTTTAAGCTATTCATTTTACATCACAAAATCCAAAATTAAATTAATTTAAAAATATATGTATGCATACTGAAGCAGCAAACACAATAATGGAAACTAAATAAAGACTGCAGGAATATATTATATTATACTTGAAAGATGATAGCTATACAGGGGACTGTTTGCCAAATCAAACCAAAAGAATCCATAATTGTCATTAACTTTTAGTTAAATCCAAGTATTGCAAAAACTTTTTACTTACCAATTTAATAGCCACAGATATAAAATCTAAAATTTGAAGCTTGCTACAAAAACATTAAGGTGTGGGGCAATTTCAGGGAACTAAGCTGCCAAGCAGTCATTGATGCCTGCGATAATATTTAAGCCATATCCAGTGAGGTAATGGTATCGAGATACATGTATCTAGATACTGGATCTAGATACATTTTATGTACCTAGATACTTATCAATATAATTTAAAAATCAGTATCTACTTTAGTATCTAGATCCTTTTGAAAGTATCTATAGATCCTTAGATCCAAGATACATTTTATTTTACCCAACCGGATTGCAACCCCACACGGAACATGTATATCCATTGGATATACTCTATCATAGAGTCTCTATGGATATCCAGGATATACATAGGATATCGGATATATAAATATCCGACACTGCAGGATTTCATTGAAAATCCCATAGATATCGATATTTATGCTAAAAGTATGTAATCTGTATATAATATGGAGATTGTATGGCAGTGGCGGATTGTGGATTTTGGGTATACCAATATCTCAGTTAGTAGACATGGGGCCCACACCAAACTTATTTAAGTTTATAATGACATTAAATAAACAATTCGCGCAAGCAGAATTTAAATTGAAGTTTGCGGAAAAAAGTTAGTTTTTCAGCGGGCCTCACCTTCCCTACTTAAGAATATTCAAATTAAAGTGGTGCAATTCATAATTCACTAAAGTTTTTTGGCAAATTTTAAAATTTATTAAAAAAATCTAAGAATTACAGATTTCATACCATTTTAAATTTTTAAAAAATTTAAAAAAATTAAAAACGGTATAAAATCTGTTATTTTTGGATTTTTAAAATAAATTTTGAAATTTGTCGATAAACTTTGGTAAATTATGAATTGCACCACTTTAATTTGAATAATTTTAATTAGGGGTGGCAAGGAGCGCTGAAAAATTAACTTTTTTCGCAAACTTTAATTTAAATTCTGCTTGCGCAGAACTTGTTTATTTAATGTCATTATAAACTCATATAAGTTTGCTGTGGGTCCCATGTCTACTAACTGAGATATTGGTATACCCAAAATCCACAATCTACCACTGTTGTATGGATATTCTACAAAACTTATAAAATAAAAAAAGGTTCCTCCAGTACTGGGAATCATATAGTCTAGTCCTTTTTTGTTTTTACGAGAATGCACACTTTGCCATTTATTTCTACCTGAAAAGGTCACTTAATTAATTTTTTCCTCTTGCTCAGAAGTCGAACCAGGGACCTTTGGATTATGTTTGAAATTTTGCCCACTGAGCTACTTCATGATTGTATTTAGGATGACTTGTATTATTATACGAATGTCCTAGATGAACTTGCTTTATAAAAATAATTTATTAGATCTCCAGTATGAATATCCCCTGGTTATCCACTCTATGTACATTGGTTATCCAATGGATATCCGGTGGATATTACTACTGGAGATTTAAAAATTAAAAACAATTTTTTTAAGTATTTTAAAGAAAACCATTAAAAATATAAAAATCCATGTATTGATATTCAGTAAATTATCATCCAATATCCACAAGATGTACAAAAGATATCCGGTGGAAATTGAAAAAATTATTCCTAACAATTTTTTTCTTTGACATTTAATTTTTAAGTTTTTTTAACAGATTTTATCTGAAAATAACTTAGATACTTTTTAAATGACCCCTTCGGATTTTTTTAAATTTTATGTTATTCTCCACTTCAAAATAATGACTCACTGAAAATTTGAGCCCTTTATATTAAGTCGTTTCGTAGTACTGTACTAGTAAAAATTCTTAGCTTTTCAATGAAATTTTTAATTCTTTATTATAAGTAATGGTAGACCCTAAAATATTCAATTAAAGTGAAAAATGACATTTTTCTGGCCTTGCGGCAATTTTTATTTCAAATTTGATATTGATATTTTTTTAAAAGCCGAGATTTTTTTTTAATAATTGAAATAATTGAAAATTACATATTTTGTGTAAAAAAAAATCTTAGCTTTCAGAAAAAAATATAAAATTCTAAAGAAACTGGAGACCATTCTATCCAAGAACCTAAACTCAATTTCTGGATTATTTAACAAAGTTAAGTTTTTTCATTGTTATCTCGCTAATAACCAAAGTGGTAGATGCGACTATGTTCTGTAAATAAATATATAAAAAATAACATCACACCAAAAATCTCTATTTTGTTGTTTTATATTCCCAAGATAAGCTATTAATTTATTTTTGTGATGCAATAGTTTTCGACATAAAAAATAAAGATTAAAACTAAATAAATTTTTAATATGATAAAATATATCTAATATAATATCATATAAATGGGTATATTTAGCAAGACGTTGCCTTTAATACTTTTATTGGGCAATTTTTTTCTGTAAAATTAAGAGCATGCATTTTATTTAATAGTACCTACTATAAAAACAATGGAAAATTGTAGGTATAATAGATATCTAATAATTGAAGGGGCGAGTGGATGAAGGGGTAAAGTACCACTTTTAATAATAAAGAACAAAAAATATTGTAATTGTAATTACAATGCCAGGTTTATTTTTATGTACAATTACAAAAATTAATTGTTTTGAGGTGTCATGTTACATTTAAATTTAAAAATACAGACAATATTTGGATTGTAAATAAATAAATAAAATATATTTTTTGATTGCAATTACACACTGAAAAAACAAATCTGTTTTATCAACCAATAAATTTTTTGTTGCAATTGTTCCTGTTGATCCTAATAAAAAATTTGTTAACCCAAGTAAAGTGTTTAATACATTAGTATTTGCAACAAAAATGAATTTGTTGTAAAGGATTAGTTTACCCTACTGACAATATGCGTCGCCGCTAATAGGTATCCTTAAGTAAACATAACAAATATATTTTTGTTGTCAATTTTCGCCCAAAATTGGCATGACGTGACATTGAAATTTATTTTATAAAGTTGACCGACTTGGTGCCATGGTTAAAGTTAAGTCTTGGTGTCATAGTGATTGAATAATAAAAAAATAATTTGTCACTGTCAAAAAATTTTTGTGCAAATGCTAGAGGGAGCAGGTTTGCGTTAATTAATTTTGTGCATTGGGCGTTATGGATGAAGGAATAAACCAAATATTAACCGAGTGGGGATTTTCTTCATTAGAAAATACTTTTAAAGGTAAGGAAATCATAGCTTTTTTGATATATTATTTTTATGAAATATTTTTTGAAATATAATTCGTCCAAAAATATGTTGTCTTTATTTCAATTTTTAACCATAAAATAGGAATATTATCTATAGATATAGATAGTTGTAATTTTTAATTTAAATGTATTTGGGTGTTTCGCATATTTAAATTAACTAATACCAATATCAAATCAACCAAGGTAAGTAAGCTATCAACACTAATATTATTAGTAATGGTTACCATAAATATATTTACGGTACCGTAAACACGGGTGGCTTTGGCTCACTTCCAAACTTCAGCTTAAAATTGTTGTGGTTTTAACAATCATAATCATTAAATTTTGTATACCAAAATTTGAGTCTTGAGTTGCTCTTTCATAATAACTATGTTATAATATAACATAGGGCTGAGTTTCAAAAATAAACATTAAAAACTGGGTGTGCAAAGTTACCCCCTGGTTGCGGGTTACTTTGTCTCACAGTGTTTTTTCAGTATAAAATAAATGTAATATTATATTTTATTTTTATTAGACACGTGTTAGAAGCGACATATATCTATTGCAAGGGATTACCAATAAAAAAAATAAAAAATCGACCTGTAGTTAACCAAGGATCATCATTCCAATGGATTGCGCATAATATAGAAATTGTAACGCGTGTATTTCTAAGAGTTTTGCACTGATACGATATATACAATTTTGAAGTGTAATAAATCCCATTTCTTTCTTTAAAATACGATTTTCCTGTAATATAAACTCAATAGAATCGCTTAATTGACAGGTTTAGACCAACAAATTATAAATGTTAATTTTATCGAGCGCGAAAAGATTTTTCATAAATGGGTTAAAGTCACCCGCGGGGTGCAAAGTCACCCGTATTTACGGTAACCAAAATAATTTTTGTTAAAAAAAATCAAACAATATTAATAACCTATACCTACACAATATTGTTAATGCAACTCTTTTTATTAATTAGTATTACATACTGAAAGAGTTGATTTAACAATATTGTGAAGGCATAGGTTAATATTGTTTAAGATCTTTTAACAAAAATTATTTTTTGGTGATTAAAAGAACTACCAAATGTTATAACAACAAAGCAACAATGTTGTAGTTACTCATTACCATAGCTTTTCCAACAAATTATTTTGTTTTAAAAACAAATAGATTTATAATGAAAACAAATGCCAAAAGTTATAGAAACAAAT